AGTGTCACGTGATTTATGGATACCTTTTGACAGACAGACACAGAGTGTAAACAAAGCGGCGATGAGTTTGAAAACAATAAACAAAACAAAAAAACAAAATAAAACCAAAAAATCCTTTCAATTGTGACTAATGTTTGTGTTTTAATACAATTTAACTGCTTTTGAAAGCCGTGTCGTAAGCATACAAATCGCAATTCACACCCAAACCACGCAAATGACAACAAAACGAGTGATTATAGCGACTGCAATAAAATAGGTGTCATTTAATGGCGCAAAATATGTGCCAATCGTATGGCAAACAAGCGATGATTTGTGGCCACAAATGAGCGCTTAATTGTCGCCCAAAAAAGCATCGAAAGGCACAACCATTTGGTCGGAAACGATGGCAAAACTGAAGCCAATTGTGTTTCGTGTGAATCGTTTTGCGGCCAAAATGTGTCACAACTGCTCGCAAAGCAATCGCTCACTACTTATGATGTGTTTAATTGTCGCCATTATTATGGTTTGCGTTCACTTTGAGCTCCAATTGAATCAAATCCAGAGACAGACGCGAAGATTGGATCAATTGTTGCGCCGAAGGACTGCCTCCACGCCAGCGATGGACGGCCTCAACGACGCCGACGACGACAACTCTGTGGCCGTGGAGGCGGACGCGACACCCGAGCGGACGGACACTCGCGTCGCCCCCAAAGACACTGTCATTATCTACAATCGGGTGCCGAAGACCGGGAGCACCAGCTTTATGGGCGTGGCGTACGACCTGTGCTCCGCCAACGGCTTCAATGTCCTGCACCTCAACACCTCGAAGAACAGTCACGTGCTATCACTGGCGGATCAGTTGCGGTTCGCGCGAAACGTGAGCCAATGGCGGGCCCGACACCCGGCCCTCATTCACGGTCACATCGCGTACGTGGACTTCGACCGGTTGGGCGTCGCCTCTCACGTGAAACCCATTTACGTGAATCTAATCCGACGACCGCTGGAACGGCTGGTCTCCTACTACTACTTCCTGAGGAATGGCGACGACTTTAGGCCGTATGTCGTGCGCCGACGACAGGGAGACAAGCGATCGTTCGACGAGTGCGTGCGTCTCGACCAACACGACTGCCATCCGGACATTCTCTGGCTTCAGATCCCCTTCTTCTGCGGTCACGTCAGCGAGTGTTGGCTTCCGGGCAACGAGTGGGCGCTCGCCGAAGCCAAACGCAATTTGGTCGACAAATACCTGTTGGTAGGGCTCACGGAACAGATGCACGACTTCCTGGCGGTGCTCGAGGTCTCGCTGCCGGAGTTCTTCGCGGGCGCCGTACGCCTGTATACCTCGGGATCTAAGGCTCATTTGCGGCGCACCTATAATAAGGTGCAGCCGTCCGCCCAAACGGTGTCCAAAATACAGGCGTCGAAAGTGTGGCAAATGGAGCAACACTTCTACGACTTCGCCGCCAAACAGTTTGAGTTCAT